TCACGAGCATATTCACGACATCAGAGTAACAAAACTAATTCTAGATACTCAATTGTATTTTAATATTTAACTGCCACACTATAACATCTACTCAGAGCCTTAAAATTATGCTCAGCATCGCAAATTTCTATTTGCAAATCTATTCATTGCGTAAATACATATTGAAACATGTCTTTTCATCTGACCAGCTTTACGGGAACAACAGAGCGCGCTTCTTCCCAGAAGGCGTGCAGTTCTTTCATCCCGTGTCAAATTACACCTACGTGCTCGACAGCGTCGGCCTTCATCTCAGCTGTCCGACGTTCCGGAAAATTTCGCGTGACTACTCCGTCGATTACCTGTACGAATCGTCGGCGTTCGGCATCGGAGAGCAGGCGGCGAGATGCCTGGACGTAGCGCGAAACGCAAGGACCTACACGGCCGCCGACGGCTCCGTAACCATGTTTATCGCCGGAGTGAAGATACGGCAGGCACCAGAAGGCGACATCGTCATAGTAACACACAAAAAGCGAATCTGCGTATCACCGGAAACCAACTGCTTCCGGGTAATGTTGTATACGTAATCGATATGCACTCAGTGGCAACTACTATAAGTATTGGAATCGGACCTTTAACACGTAACATTATGTGTGGTGCAATAAATAATTTACTGATAGAACTAAATAGCCCATGCAAACCTTCTGGCGGGCAGCTGTCATTCAGTCACAGATTTTGATAAACAATAACACATATATGACTAACAAATGAAAATAACATTAAAATAAGCGTAGTGAATATACATTTTTTATTAGAGAGCGCATAGTCATGAGTATGAAAATTAATGAGTATGAGTATGAAAATTAATAAGTACAATGTGCCCAGTCTTTCCGAATTCCTCTATATTGCGGGACAGGAACAGATATGTAGGACTATTCGTGCGTGCATGGCCAACCGTTGTGCTAATAACCGATGTGAATGTTTCAAGCAATAACATGTAATATGTATAATATTTTATTTGTTTATTATTAGGTAACAACGCCGTTTATAAAAATGTCGGTCGATGGAGCTTGGAACGTCAGTATACTACGAGGAGAGCGTAGCGTAGAGCTCACGCCTCATGGTGGATTGACTGTCCGTAACGGCCGCCGTCTTAGAAGTGGATTCGACAAGAACGGAGCGCTTATCATTCCAAAAGCGAAGCTATCTGCTACGTGAATTTGGCGTTAACTTTATCTGATGATCACCCTAGAGCGGGGCAGAATGGCTTGACTGAGCCGGGTATAATCCGATTAAACTCGCTAGGACTGGCACTAATGTCCGAACTACTGCCTACTGCCCTGCAATGCAATACCACATTTAATTATTGTCGAAACAAAATTTCTGCTCCTTCTGTGCTTTTTCATTAAATGATTATTTGTTGTCGGAATTAAAGTACTGGTACTGCTTTGTTTTGCGATGTAACATTTATTTAATTTTGAAACAAAATGTCTGTTACTGCTGTACTGTGCCATTCAATATTTATTTGTTTGCAGAACCAAATTTCTGTTGTTGCTATGCAATGTAGTACAGTATTTATTTGTTATTGGAAGACATGTGAATATTGTTAAAGACATTTTTAGAACATGCAGGAACAAGCATAATTATTATGTTTTCAATGCTGGGAAAGATCAGCATAGTCTATGTAGATATTGGAGTTGTATTATATTGTATATATATATATATCTATAGAAAACTATTGGAGGCGAATTACTCGACTTCATATTTTGTTTTATACCGTATGGTGTCTAATTATGTTCAAAATAAATTTGTATTATTATAAATCGTAATAGGTTGATCTAAAGTAAAAGTAAAAGTTAATTGTATGCTAAACACCCGTTTCGCATAGACTAGTAGTCTACAGGCGCCTAATCAAGCGCATACTAATGGGTTGGCGTGTCAATTAGTTGACTAATAGGCGTTATTAATTAAGCTATGATAGGTATATTTACTATTTCAGAAAGTTTCAACTTTACGTTATGTTACTGTTATTTTTATTGTATCTGTTTATTAAAATGGATTACATAACATTTACCAATGTATTATATGTTCAGTAAACATTAATTTTATAATTGAATATTATGTAAAATATAATATTTCACCTATTGAGGCAAACATACAATGTATGTATATATATCGTATTTTCTTTTAGAAAAGCCCTATGCTATACACATGCCGTCGGTAGGGGTGAAGTGTTACAAACCACCGAATAATGCGATATTCTTCTCACCGTCTTCATCTAAAAAAGATTTTAAAAATCTTACTCTCTCTCTCTCTCTCTCTCGCTCTCCCATTAATGGGAGATAAAATATTGAGCCGCTTGTCATGCACAAAAGACGAAAAGTGACAAATACCTTAGCGCGCGGACGAGATGTCGTCATTTGTTATATTCATATCGCAAACGCTGACGCTTGTTCTAAGGGGTTTTCCAGGCACATTAACATGTTGAATATTCATTGAGAGCGCACGAGAGAAAGAGATGAAGGGAGAGGTATAGACACGTGGGGCAGAGCTGACGATGCAATGTCTACAGCTAATAGTTTTACGCTGTTAATCTGTCGATTCAGAATGTTAACGTACGCATAAGAGAATCAGTGGCGTAGGTTGTCTTGGCGCTGCTTTTATGTAAAATAAATTAATTTCAAAATTAATGATTTGGAGTAGTGTATTGAGGTAGTAAATAAAAATTTAATGCACGATTTGTAGTATATTGTAGCAATATATAGTAGCTTTATTATCATTGATCATTAACAGCGTGACACACGACAATGTACCACAGCTAATTGAAAATACAATGCCTCGAAAGCGGAACACAGCGAGGGAACGTGTGAATGAGCGCGTATACCGTTCAGGTGAAAATAATTTGAAGTAATGTCAGCAGAAAGGTGAAGATTATTAGCGTTTTCGACTTATATGCTTGTGTTCAGCAAACATATGATGATTTTTAGAAATAGAATTTGATCGTTATGGTGTAAAATGGAAATGTGAAACGGTCCCTCATATTCATACCTATATATATATATATATAAATATATATATAAATATGCGCGCGTGCGTGTGTCACATTTCACAGACAATTTATCCAGTGAACATCACCATTTAACTCGTTGTCAACATAGATACTCAGCGCTGAGAATAAAATATATGAGAAATATTACTGGCATAATCTTCGCAAATATGGGCTACTTGAGAGAAAGCAACTTCTATGCCAACCAACTATATGGAACAAATTACTCTCATAATGCACGTTTGTGTTTCCCCACACCTATCAAATAGAGAAAGCGATACATTTCAGAAGTATATATAATATATCTGATCCTTCAACATCTAGTTACATCTACGTGCATAAATACAGAGCACGGTGAATTAAATTGTGTGAAAGCAGCTGATAAAATCATACAGGACAATCCCAGGTTGGGGCAGTCGTGAATTGGTACGTTTGGCAAATATGTGTAGATCTACTTGGAATCTTCTTCTAAACTAAAGAAAAAGCTGGTGCGTGAAAGGGCACCAGCCATCAGCTAACCACGTCACTGTGTTCAGGGAACATGGGATGTGATTAATACAAATATTCCATTATTATCTGGCCACCTTCAAACATAGTAGTGGCATTCACCATTACAACAGTCTATAGGCAAAACCAAAACATGCAATATGCTTGAAATATTGACCAAGACATTCTCACTAATTAAAAGTCTTGTAATGTTATGCAGATTAACTATTAGAACATCATTATTCGAACATGAACACCTTAACATGAACATGAACATTTTTACCGAGAATGCATTTATAATATTTTTTAAACACACTTCAAGCGTAACTTTGCATTCAAACTTCCCTAGATGATAGGGGTCTTTCACAGAGAGGTTATGGTTTATCTGCAATTACAGATTGGTACAGGTGCAGTCCACTTGCCTACAGTGCCTTCAGACTACAACCCTGATAACGCTTGCGCTAGTTGTCACAATCTGTACATTTGTGTGACCATGCAATGCTATTAGATATAGCCTGCAGAAATGAGAGCCAGCGTTTACCGATCGAGTCTATTATAAGCTAACCAAGTCAGTTTTTTTCTATTAAGTGCACACATATTGTATTTATATTCATGTAATTTCTCCATAAAATGATTATTAAGTATACGAAAAATTGGCAATGTTACCCATTATAGCAACATTATTAAACATAACATTATTCAATTAAAATTTATCTGATATCAAAGTACCCTCGACAATAACCAGCCATGCCATTCACCCTCAGAAGATTGCGCCCGGAAAATCACTCCTGGGACAATCACCCCCACCCCCTTGGGGGGGGGAATTACCCCAAGACGTTACCTTGATGGAAATCCCTTTTTCCTCAGACAATAAAACACATACTATACTACATGGACCCAAGATGATGATCAATAAATATATAGAAAATTTAATTGTATCTTACATTTTTCTTACAAATGATCTTGTTTCAGGAATAATTTGATGCGATTCATTATTTCTAAATATTTAACAATGAGATTTTCACTCAATATGATGATGAATATATTATATATATAAGATAAAATCGAATAGTATTTTACATTTTCCTTTTAAAATATATTTTTCAGTTAATGAAATTCAACACAATAATCTTAAAAATAAATACAACTAAAATCATTGGGTGGGGGTAATTTTCCTGGGGGTGTTTGCCCATAAGAGTATTTGTCCAGTGGGTAATTATCCAAGGGGTACTTGCCTAGTAGTTGGGGTTGATTGTCCCGAGGTAATTTTCCAGGGTTAATTTTCCGGTGGCAATTCTCTGGGGGAGATTGTCCCAGGATGAGCGTCCAAGGGTAATTGACCGGGGGTGATTGAATGGGGGGTATTTGTTCTAACACGCTTATTTATGGCAAACAAGAGATATTATTGAGGCTGGCCTTGTAGTTATTCCTACACCCTTTCCACAAATCTAAATATTATAACAAAATAACCAAATAAGATACTTAAATACAGTCTCATTATATATGTTTCATCTTGTGCAGATACAATCGATATAGGTGCGTTGCCCAAAACTCTGCTCAATGACAAAAATGCGGCCTCACAGCTTCCATCATCTTGGCATCATCTGGAATAAAGGTCATACACAAATTCAACTTAATAACAACCTTAATAGATAAACTTAAAATTCAAAGTAAATTTATTTTGATTTGATTTTACTACTTTTGAATGCCAAGCGACATGTGAAAACAGAAACGTTCACACAATAAAAGAAATGTAGATGCAAAGAAATGTATAGAAGTGTTTTTTTGTGCGATCTCTTACAACAAATGACAAACCTGCTCATAATATGTAAGACTTTGGCAATAGAAGTTTGATATACAATTACTCAACCATTGAAATGTATGCATCTGTATACAGTATATAAAATCATACCATTGTAGACAATGATTTCACACATTCCTGCCATATGAGGTTGGCTCTTAAGAATCTTCTGCAAGAATGCAGCGTACTTCTGCACTTCTCGCAGCTTGTCTTCCTCTGAGAAGCCAGTCAGTTCTTGATCCATTACCATGTCACGCAATGTCAGGATGTTTGCAGGCAAGTCAGCAACGAACATTACCTCCTTGAATATGATGAAATAAACAGTATATATCAAGCTGTATATCTTTGCATGTTATTACCCTGCAACAAATGACCTAGACCTACCTTGCTCAGTCACGGTTATAGACCGGGTGACTTATAAAAAACATGTAATTATTCATTTATATCAAAATTGCACACATGTAGAATCCATGAAATATACATTTTATCGTTTAAGTGTTTACTCTTAGGTTCCTTGCTGACAATGAGTACCAATTTACATTAGGATCAACGTTTTCCCTTACTTTTTCATTGTGAGTTGTTCCGTAGACAACATTGGAGTACTTTCTCTTAACGCCAGCCCTCTCTACCACACACGGCTCCAATTCTCCAACCTGGTGTACGGTCCCATCAGCATTCTGAAGCTTTGTTGGCATCTCACCATTAGCAGGGATCAGCACAAACATCTTCTTAAACTTCATGTGTTTCTCATACTCACTGGTGCCAACCCTCGCTGCCAGACTAGGCAATACCAAACGCAGGTAGCCAGCATAATAGTTGTATGCAAGTCCTTCCCCAATCGACACCTGAAATGAATGTACAATTGCCAACTAATTAATCAAGTCCATGAATAAGATTTTACGATTTAATCCCACTTTCCTTAATCACTTGACCAAGATTTCTGTCTTTACAACAGTCTCAACAGCCGCTATAACCACCCCGACCTTGCTAACGATTCGAATAACCATCAACAATAAATGATGAGTTCCAATTCAATACGTGAAACCTCATTTCTGCTGTTTCTTGAATAGGATATCTATCCATGTATGACATAATCAGTAGATTAGTAGTAGGCCTAATGCAATAAGGGCTTATACAACTAAAGGCTTGCCAGACCATGCTGCAACACTAACATTTTTGTACCAGGATTTGTACCAGGGGGGGGGGTCTAACCGTAACCCAAACTTGCGAGCACGCGAAGGGGGGGTGTAGGGGGGCCTCCCCAGAAAATTTTTGAAATTAGACTTATATGCGTTTTCTGCACGAGCAGGGGGGGGGGTCCGGACCCCCTGGACCCCCCTGTACACGCCCCTGAGATCGTTTCTTATAACTACGTAAAAACTTAACCTATACGGCTATACGCAAACTTGTAAATCACTGGGCATAAATACGTCTAGACCGAATAATTCTGTCCCATATAACCTTTTTTATATTTTGGTGAGGGTTATTGGGACAGAACGGGGTGCATTAAAATTTCGTGAGATCGCATGCAAAATGCATGCGCTGCTATAATGCAGCCCGTATGGCGCTATTGGCGCGGAAAAAAACCCTACCGTTCCCTTCTACATGGCTTTACCTTGCTACTGATATGTGTATACATTCACTTCAATCGTTATTCACTTCTTAAAAGATTGTTTTTCAGAAACCCCGCTTCATTCCACTTTAGTAAATCACATTCGCCATTTACATACAATCAGACCAATAAGAGCGAGTCTTACAATAGTGCTCATAGGGTCTATGTCCCCCAGGGTACTGCCGGAACGGACCCTGGGTACGGTCCAGTATACCGGAAGGTCCGGAACGTACCCTGGTAACTATCTAGCTGATATGGTTAGGGTTAGGGTTAGGGTTAGAGTTAGGGTTAGGGTTAGGGTTCGGGTTGGGGTTAGGGTTAGGGTTAGGGTTAGAGTTAGGGTTAGGGTTAGGGTTCGGGTTAGAGAGTAGGCGTAGGCAACTCCCTAGACTCGTTAGTGTAGTAGGTGAGGTATGGTCCGGCATATTAGATAGTATTTGGTACCAGGGTACGTTCCGGTATAGCGGACCATACCCAGGGTACGTTCCGGCAATACCCTGGGGGAAATAGACCCTATCAGCTAAAATTGCCTGGTTCTCGCTTGTATCTGTGGCGCTGCAGGAGGGGTGGTAGACTCGCTCTGATTGGTCTGATTGTTTGTAAATGGTGAATGTAATTTACTAAAGTGGAATAAAGCGGGGTTTCTGAAAAACAAAGTGAATAACGACTGAAGTGAATGTATACACATATCAGTAGCAAGGTAAAGCCATGTAGAAGGGAACGGTAGGTTTTTTTTTGCGCCAATAGCGGCGTACGTGCCGCATTAGCAGCGCATGATTTTGCATGCGATCTCACAAAATTTCAATGCACCCCGTTCTGTCCCAATAACCCTCACCAAAATATAAAAAAAGGTTATATGGGACAGAATTATTCGGTCTAAAATACGTCTAGCTACTAGGTAAGGTAGTAGTGATCACAGGCACTTGGAGCGTTTCAATAAAATATAATGCTAAATAAATACGAAATCTATTTACTACCACAGTCTTAATGTTTCTATACTCTCTTTCACCTATTATTGCCGACAATTTCCTGTAAATCAGTCTGCGAAATTAACCACTGGCCCGGTATCCGAGACCAGTAAATTTTCCGTGAAGCCAATAAAACTGGTAAATGAACAAGCCCGATGGGCCAGTGGAAAAAAATGGAGTAAATGGTCTATTAATGATATTTCAGCTTCTTTATGTGATGATCAGTCTGAGAATTTACCGAAATTCCCAATATTTTGTATGAAAATTTACCGACGAGATACTAGAGAAGCGTTGCCGAAAGGAGGTGTTGATCCGAAGCGCTGAGCGCAAATCTTGCGCGCAGTTCCGCGGCAAGGCGCACGCGACTGCGGGAACATCCTACGACAGTATGCAGCGCTGGCAGCTATGGATCCGTGCGACGAATGCTTGGGCCGGCGCACGGATCCATAGCTGCCAGCAAACAGTCCGCAATTTAAATGGGGGACACAGAGGGCAGACATTTGGGACGTGAACAGTGTTCACTTGTTATAAAAACATAATGTCTCTGTTCGTAACCGAGCTGTGTCACGCGAAATCACAGAAACACTGACGAAATGCTCGCGTCCGCGAACCTTGCCCAGTAATGGAAATGGCTGCAAGGACAAAGGCAATATAGACTGGGACTCGCTCCCACCTCGATTACCCATCGAGTGACTAAGCTAAGCCGAGAGGTGGGAGTGAGTGGCAGTCTATGGGCTATAGGCGGCGCACTGCTTTCCAACTCCCGTACGAGCCTCGCCATTGGAACGTTGCAAAAACGTTGCAGCGTTGCGGCACAACAATGAGGTCACGAAGAGCGCCGGTAGGTGTTTCCTGATTCTGACAGCCATTTCCATTACTGGACAAGGTTCGCGAACGCGAGAATTTCGTGTCTTTCTGTGATTTCGCATGACACAGCTCGGTTACGAACAGAGACATTATGTTTTTATAACAAGTGAACACTGTTGTTGAAGGAGAAACAAAGATGGAAGCTGTTGGATGTGTATTCGTGCTGTGAAAGTGTCAAATCAAGCTAGCGTCGAGCGAATTTTGGCAGCACGCTTTCCTACCTGCTATATACAGGGTGACCCAAAAAAAATGCAACCCAAACAAGTGTTAATAACTTTTTTGATACTGACGTTAACCCTTTCATTTTTCAGATTTAAAGAGGTGAATAGTTGCCAATCAGATTAGAATCAAGAGTTTTTTAAGATGCCTTGGACTCTTCGACAGAAAT